AGAAAAGAATTGCAAAATATTGTTTAGTGTTTAAGAAAGATTGCTTTGTTAAACAAAAAATGGTAAGACCATAGATTTTAACTGGAATTTGTTATAGACGACTATAATGACCAATTCTCTACTTGACTTGGTGTTGAAAGTAACAGAAATTTTTTAGAGTTTCTAGAATCACGAATAAATTATTATGTTCAAGCAAAAATAAATAAATAAATAAAAATACAATTTTTTTTTTATCTATTATGCGACTTTAGAAAGTTGACTGATAACAAGTCAGCACGATGTGATATATCATGTTTAAACATGAGACGACCGTTCGATAAAAGTTGTTTTTATATATCAAATAATAAAAGGAAAAAGTTGATTGTACAACATTTCTTTTACAGTTTTTTTCACAGTCTCCTCGCAAAGGTGAGATTTACGATTATTTTAATTATGGACCCCACCAATTACATGTGTGTGTGTTGTAGACCATGCTATGAAAATTGATGTACCCATAGCATGTTTCATAATAAAATTCTACAAAAAGGTAAAAGAGAGATAAAATCCTTGGGACACTATTTTATGAGTTACATTGAAGTTATTGTACTTGCATATATGAAATTTCGTATTACATTTGATTTGTGTCAAATAATGATCATCATCCAATTTTCGAAGCATTTTAATAACTAGAAAGAAATAAAGCATCCCGAAAAAAACACTTTTTTAATTTTTTTTCCTCAATTTCATTTAGATTCACCCATTCTATCAATAAAATAATTTTGCACTTATCTTTATAACTTCTCTTTTCATTTTAAGCACATATTCTATAGAAAAAAATTCAATTTTAACAAAATCTATTCTTGAAAAGCTAAGCCAAACAGGGTTTGGTGTTTTGTGCAAATTTCAATGCAAGATTAAGGGTTGTTGGACTCAAGACCCAATAGTTCAGTGGAATGACAGACTACCTAATAAGATTTGACTTTATTAAAATATCACTAATAATTGTGCTTTGTTACATATTTGTTGTACACAATTAATGAATTACAAGTCAATATTTCATCAATATCCAGCATCAAGTTGTACAAATGGGCATAAGTAGCCATTAAGATCTAGACAACAAAATTATAAAGTTTTTGTTTGGAAATTGATTGTCAATATTGGTATGATTATATATTCCAATGTTATATAGTGTATTTATCTTAAACAATATTGTAAAAATTAGTTTGAACATTGATCTAAAAATGATAAACGATCAAATCGATAATAAAATATAAATATAATTCTAACATAAATCAACCAACTTTGGGGTGAAAGGCTGGTTCTTGAATTACTTGGGGTTCTAATTTTCGATTTTTAGATGTAATTATATCTATTTTTGAACTGAATATCGATTTTGTTATTATAATTTGGCGTAAAGATTAAATATTGTAGCAATAGTTTTGACAAAAGTCACAAAACTATTAAAACGTGTAATTGAATTAGACTGCATGGAGGTATGTGGCACTTTGTCCCTCAGACTTGACCCAAATGTAGTATTTTTCGAAGACTTTCACTACCCTTTGGGTCCTTTGGACGACCTTGGGAGCAGTCTACTTTGATAATTTATTTTTACTTATAAATAAAAAATTAAATATTTTAAAAGTAGAGAAACGATTTTATGAGCATAAGTGTTTATTTTATGTTAAATACTAAAAGCATTACATATCAATTTTTTGGTGAATAAATTTGTGGTGAATCTCAGGATTTGAGTTTGTGCATAAATAAGATGAACATTAATACTTATAGATTATTTTTTTTTTATGTAAACTTACTAGTTCGATCGCAAATTCTCAAATCCAATATTTTGGATCCTATCTTTTCATTTTTGATTTATAAAAGAAAATTAGAGGTCGAGTTGGATCACTTGTAGCCGTGGACCTAGGTTCAATATTATGTAGGTAATTGTAGTTTGTCGAGGCAATCTTGCGAAAATTGCAAAGCCTCTAACAAATTTTTTCAACGTCAGATAGATAACTGATTAATTAATGCAAGATAACATCAAATATAACTCAAGGTAACATTATAGCTTGTTCATTACTACTTTGACAACCACTAGGTGGCTTAAGCAAGCATCTTGGGCGAGGAGAGAAGGTAGGTAGTCTTCAAAATAATACAAAACGATTAGGTGCGTACTCGAAATGCGGTACTAGATGGGATTGTAAAGTACTGTCATACCCAACCTCCCAAGTCCCAACCACATGCTTAGGGTACATGTAGAACTCGACCTTTGTAGAGACCCTGATGACCTTCTACTAGTAGAACCTGGAATCATATACAAATGGATTACTAAAAGAACAAGGTACTCAATGATGCACAGTGGAGTCCCTTTTTATGGCTCACTGCAACACAAGTCGGGTTTTAACCATGTCAAAGGCAGCTGTGATCGTGGTACTCGAGCTTCACAATATGCGAACTATAGTTCAATTCTTCAAACATGGATTGGAACTCTTTGTGGATATCAGTGTACAGACAGCTCTTATTTCTTGGCCTGTTGGGACATATCCGCGATTAACCTCTCTCACGCTACTCCAGGAACAGGACGGTGGAGGACCATTAAGGTTGGGGTTCAAATTTTTAGAAATGGTTGACAAAATTGACAAATGAGAGAACTTGACACTTGTATTATCTACACAGAGACTAATCAAAATTAGGGATTCAGAACTTCAAAAATGTAGGTGAGATCATTTCATCGTTTTATTTATTCAATTCTCGTTGGTATTCACATCATGTTTGGAACGAGGATTGACTTCTAAATTTCCACATTATGGTAAAAAGGCTTTCGTATAAACTTGCATGTATATACCAAGATGAGTTATATTACATAATGCCAAGAAAATCAAGAGCTTTCATACAATTAAGTGTGAGACACCACGTATAGAGGGAAGAAAATGTTGGAGACTAGAGTTATTTTGGCATAATTTTGATTGAGGTCGATTATTCTTTTTGAAAGATCGACGTAGATTCACATTCTCCTTTGTAGAAGCATCGAAATCGTATATTTACTTGTCCAATACGATGTTCGAGTAAATGGGAAATTAAAATTTAAAATGTACTCGTTGGAGGTGATTTAAGTGTTGGAGGGAAAGCAATTGTAATTCGTCACTCATGGAAAAAATGATAAGAAAATGACTAATTTGTATATGGCCACATTTTATGAGAGCGTAATAATTTGTAAGATAGATACTTTCTCTTGCACATGCATGTAGGGGTGCAAATCATGAACTTGTGTGTGTGTGTCCTCAGGATTCATAATATGTTTCTATTGTCCGAATTCTAGTGTTTATAAAAGGTTTAGTCCACAAAAATAGAAGTTTGGTACCCGACTTGTTATTGGATTCACCATTATATCCTGATAGACATATCGACTTGGATTTGTCATATGTTGCCAATGGGGATGTAGTTAACGTCGGCCAAGCCCGACCTCGTGGTGAGCGGCCACCTCAGGCACATAAGAGAATAATACATAACTTTTACATATAAGAATCACATTCAAAACTAACCAACTTGTTAAATTATTTCAAAATTCAGGTGTCAATTCCACTATATATATATATATATATATATATATATAAATATTTAATAATTAAATATAATAAAAGTAACAATTACACAATTAATGGTCACATATCTCCAATTATAAGTCACATATTTATTTACTGATCACATATCATCAAATTAATTGGTTACAAATATTTTCGTGGCCACAGATTTTTTCCTGGTCACAAATCAAAAAGTTTTGTTGGTCAAAGATTATTTTGAGGTCGCAAATCAAAATTTTTATATGTCACAGTTCTCATCATTGATCGCAGATGAAAAATTATAGGTCATAGATTATATATTTGTCACATATTTTCGAATTTGTTAGCCACAATTATCAAATTTTAAGGTCACATTGGTCACAGGTCAAACGGTGGATCACATACCACCACCACCTCCTCCGTCACCATCACCCTCACCCTATCACTATCGCTATCGCCCCCACCACCTCGACTAAACCACCATGACATCACCACCAACAAAATCGTCACTACCAGATTTGGTCAACTCTACCAGCTCTCCAGCCACCTCCACCGCCACCGGAAACCACCCAACCTCCACCACCAAACACAATAATAACACCCAAAGCACAATCTCACCACCATTTCCACCCAAATTGCCACTACCAACAACCATCGCCAACAACACCACCACCACACACAGCCATCGTCAGGGGCACCATCATCGCAAAACACAAAATGAAATTTTTTTTAATGACTTGTTGCCTAACCACACCATCTGCAACCAAAACTGCTCGCAAGATCACCACCTTGCCCCCACCTGCATAATCACACCATCTGCGACTACTAATCATGACCAACAATCCACACACCACCACCAAAACCACTGCCTATCCAACAACCCCCAACACGATAGTCGAATCCATCCTTATGCCACTACTGCCACAAACAAAAACCATTCCACAAACAAAAATAAGTAGTCGTCGGAGTGAGTGAGTGAGATCTAAATCTACCAACGATGAGATCGAAAAACCTGATTGGAGATCGAAGAGAGGTGTTACAGAGCCATTGAGTGAGGTTGCTTCAGAGGAGTAGAGAGAGAAAAAAAAAAACATAATCGTCGCCTGTAAGGACTTAAGGTTGACTCAATGCGTCGTCGCCGTTATGAACCCTACTGTCGTCGCCGTGTTTTGTGATGAAAAAAGTGAGAGAATAAGGAGAGATAGAGAAGATGGTAGAGAGAGAAATATGAGGAAAAATATTAGGGATTGGAAATTGAATTGGGTGAAATTAATATTTAAATTATTAAATCAATACCTGAATTTGTATAATGAAGCTTCAACCATGATTTTTGAATTGTGATGTTTAAACCCCTGCTATTGTGTAATTTCCTCTTCTTTAAATGTAGATTTCTAGGTAATTTTTCACACGGGTCCAAAATTTGATATTATTATTTTGATTTAGAACATTGGCCCATTTAGTAACATCCAGCCCAAGCCCAAATCGTATTCTCCCAAATTCTGAAATTGCCGACGTCTCCTCAGTTCCCAGCAATCTCAGTATCTCATCGCAAATCGATATTCGTCCCAACTTCTTCCCTAATCCAATCTCGTCAACCGACTGCAATAATTCGGGTAAGCAATATAAGTATTAGCATAGTGTAGTTTTTATGGTTACGCCCAACAATTTGAGTATGTCTTTTTGCATACCGAAACTTCCTTGATTTCGTCCAAGGGTAGAAGTAGGCCATTTTTGTAATTTTTGTTTGGTTTGATATCTTTAATAGTACTTGTTATGTTCTTTATCTTTGTTTGGGATATGCTTATTGCAATACTTGTGTTTGTTTCTAATTATCATTGATCTAAATAGAACTATACATTGGGTTAGCTTTGAATAGACTATGTTCAATGGGTATGGATGAATTAATGTACCAAGATGAGTAATAGTATTGAATTTGGCTGAATCATTATTGTTTTTGTCGCTAATTCTTGGCTGTGCTGTTGGAATTCCGTGCTTACCTTTGGCAAAATATCTTTAGTTTTGGATAGAAGAATATCTTCGGATTTTTGCTTCTTTTTCCTTTTTATTTTTATTTTTTATCAATCTTTGTTGTATTACTTTGTTTGGGCTGCATCACATCAAATGGCCTGTGTTGCTAATTTTTGTTGTATTTCTGTTTGATTAGGTTTAATCATTTATATGAATTTATGCTTGGTTGTTCTTAAAAGTTACTAGAAGCTACTTTTTGTTGATAAATTTTGTTTCTGATGGAATTCTATTCTCGTGGGAAGATTTGTACTCTCACTTTCTGAGCATCTATGCTGCTGTGGTGAAATCTGTTGCATTCAGTTGGAAGTGGTTCATTCTTGCTTATTTCTGTTGATATGTGGTTTGGTTTGAATAAATGAATACATCATGTTTGCAGACAAGGTGATTATCATAATATTTGACGAAGATTTGTGTTAGTTGAGTAGGTCAAACAAAAAAATAGAAAGACAAAAAAGTATCCCTTTATTTGTTTGAGCTTGATTTTTCAGGGATTGGCTGTATAAAAGACAACTACTTAAGGGCACAACTTCTAAATTCGACTTGGGTCTCAAAATCTCAATTAGAAAACTAGTTGAGTTATGCAGTAAATATGAATGTGTGATTTTCTGAATGTAGGAAATTGTTGTTATGCTTCATGCGATCTAGGGTTTTGTTCTTCCTTCTGGTCTATGATTTTTTTGTTTTGGTTTTGATCTTCCTCAGGTTGTTAACGAAGTTCTTCATATCAGACGATGCCTAGGTCTCTCTCTCTCTCTCTCTAATAAACCTGAATATAGTGTTCATTTTATTTCAATTTTTTATTTATTTGTTTATGTCTTCAGGTATTACTGTGATTATTGCGACACCTACTTGACACATGATTCCGTAAGTCATCACCCTTCTTCTGTAAAAATTTTTTATTTTCCCTTTCAGTTGTTCGTTTGAATAGTTTCTTCTTAATGAGTTCCTGATATTCATAATCTATCCATGGAAAAAGAAACGAGACACTGATGCTATTGCTCCAATATTGTGTAAATTTATTACCATTGTTGTCGTGTGAAAAATTGTTCTCTGTTCATTTTCTGTTATTATTTCTTATGAATTGGTTTTGCAAGCATAAAAAAATAGGGGGCTTAACTTTATATCCCTTTTCTTTCTCCTCATGGTTATTTAGCCTTTTTAGTAAATTTGGTTTTTGAAGAACTATCTGGATCATTCCTCACACTTCTAGCATTTATTTGATATTTAATTTAGTAGAGTCTTCACTTAGATATTGCTTATTTTTTTGGGTGTAATTACAGCCTTCTGTTAGGAAACAACATAATGCTGGATACAAACATAAGGTATTTTCTCAATTCCACCTGCCTGCAACTTTGTATTATTTCACGCTTGAAGGGTTACATAAATGTCATTTTATACATTTATCTGCTAACTGAGCAGGCAAATGTGAGAACTTACTATCAGCAATATGAGGCACAATTGAACCAAAGTTTGATTGATCAAAAAGTCAAAGAACATCTTGGGGCATTTAGGCCTCCTGCTCCATACCCTCAGCTGAGACCTGGTCTACCGATTCTACCTACTCCCATGCCGATTCCAGGTGCACAATTTCCAGGATTTAGGCCTCCAGTTTTGCCAAGGCCCACGCCTGGAGCTCCAGGTATGTGAAACGTTTTGATGTGATGCCAGTCTTTTCCCTTAAATTTTACTTCCTTGTTTGCTGTTGCCCAGCTCATATTGGATCCAGCCAAATGTCCCAGGAATAACACGAGTTCTAGTCTTCTAGGTTATCTATGTGTCTTACGATTTAAGATAGCAAAACACTGAATGATCTGGGACTTATAATCCTAGGAATTTTTGTATGGATATCATTAGCTAATAGATATTCTTTAGAGCATGTTTGGCTAAGCTTAAAAAGAAGTAAGAGATGAATTTAAGTACAATGCATTTCCAAACATGTTTTGAAAACGTTAACTTTTTCTTTGAGTAAGAAAAAGGTAATGTTACCTAACTGTCAATATAAGCCTCCATTTGGGAAGAATTTATAGACAATTTAAGTTATAAATACATAGAATTGTGTGGTGGATAAGTGTATAGTAATAGTGGGTCCATTGGCATGTGGTTGAAAATGAAATTTGACCATATTATGAATTTTGTCAAACTGGGGCTAAGTAACTTATTTTCAAGACCTATAAAATGGTTATTTATTTTAAAAGTTACTTATTTACTTATAAGTTAACTTTTAAGGTTTTCAAATTTTCTTTTTCACTTTTGTTTGAATTCACATGACCTGGCCAGTCCAGGGCACCACCACGTGCCAAAATGCTCTTAGTCTGGTCTATCTGAATGGTTAAGTTAACTTTTAAGCTTTTCAAATTTTCTTTTTCACTTTTGTTTGAATTCACATGACCTTGGCAGTCCAGGGCACCACCATGTGCCAAACATGCTCTTAGTCTGGTCTATCTGAATGCTATTCTGCTTCTACAGAACTTCATATCTACCGTCCTTTTATGTTGCCAGGTTATGTGGGTCCTCCGATGCCCCAGATGGCACCTCCACCTGGTGCTCTATTGCCTGGACAACCAAATGGTCTCCAAATGCCTGCAAGTGCTCCTCCTCCTCCAACGGTTCCTGGAAGTGCAGGAACGCCTACTTCTGGTGGTGCCCCACCAATGTTTACACCACAATTGTATCAAGGGAATGCCCCTGTACCAACAAGTGGAGGCACTGATGTTTCTAATATGAATGCCCATGCTTCTGAGACTAATCAGTAGTTCGTTACTAATGCATTCTTGGGCAGTGGCATCAGTATGAGATTGCTGTAAGATGACTGATAAATTGTGCTGAGAAGTTAGTGGTCTTGGCCTTTTTTCTTCCTTAATAGAACCGTAGACTGCAAATATGTACCTAGAACTGAAACCATCATTTGAGGGAGGGGCTTCAGAACGCTTAATGTCCTCTGATCCCCTCTGCAGTTGTTTCCTTGAAATGAATTGTCATTTTTGGCATTCGAAAATGTTATGTACACCGTTTTAAGGTTGAAGTTTGATGCTAGTGAACTTTTGAATCTAAGGGGGAGAGTATTCAATCGAGAATTTTAATGACTTTTTGGGATTTAAAAAGTTTAGGGTATTCAATTGAGACTTTTTGAGATTCTTTGAAAGTGATGGTGTATTCAATTGATACTTTTATAGACTTTTAAAGAGTCTCTAAAAATTACGGTGTATTTAATTAAAACTTTTTAGAAGTCTCTATAAATTTTGGGATATTCAAATTTTAAGTCTTTTGAGTACTAACTTCAAAGTAGAAGTACTCATATAAAATTTTAAAATTTATCTCTCATTAATTACAAGATCTTGGGAGGCTCTCACGGAAAAAAATACCATTTTTTTTTCCAATATTTCTTTCGTTTAACCTTTCATGGACATAATTTTTTTTTTAATTGATTATATTTCATTTCTCTCTCTCTCTCTCACGTTATTTATCTCCATTTTCTATGAAAAAAGTGAACTGGATTCTTGTAGCTTCTTTTCTTTTTTCATTCATTTTTTTTTATATTTGATTATTATTCATTTATTTAAGGTCTTAAATCATTATTATTATAATATAGGAAGAAGAAGGAGAAAGAGAAGGGGAATTGTGGGAATTTACACCTCATATATGATAATTTCACACTAAATCTAAGTGAATTTTATTATAAATGAAAGTTTTCAAAAGTTTTTTGAATTCCATAAAAACCTATAAAAATTTTAAAATGAAAATTCATAGAAGCCTCCGAAAAGTCACAAAAGTCATCACTTAAAAAAGTCTCAAAATTTTCAAAAGTCTCAATTTAATAAGCTCCCTAACTAAGGGTCCGTTTGGTAGGGATTTTGAGAATTGATTTTTTGACCGTTAGAAGAAAAGTAGGGTCCACATATGAGAGAAGAAGTCAAAAATTACGGCTTGAATAGTAAAATAACGGTCAAAAAATCAAATTTTTGGGGCAAAAAATCCCTACCAAACGGAGCCTAAGTCTATGCAATTGTTGATTTCAATATACAAGCACATTAGCATATTAGAAAAGAATTACATGTTGGGTTTGTTTAGGGAAAATTTCATAAGTGAAAGATTAAGTATGGTAGATTTCAAAATTAAAAAAACAAGTTTCAAAATTCAAAAATCAGATTTTTATTAAAATCTATTTATAATTTAATTAATTATTTTATTAATTAATATATTTAGGTCACAGTTATTTAATTAATTAATCACAGATTAATTTTTAGTCGCAACTTATCAAATTATTGATCGTAACTTATTTATTCAGTCACAAATCAAAAACTTTATAGGTTACAGAATATTTTTTGGTCACAAATCCAAAAATTTTATTGGTCACATATTATTTATGGACCACATATTCAGAACTTTTATTTGTCACAATTTATTTACTCATTGCAAATTATTGAATTAATTGATCACGATTAATTTTTCGATCACAACTTAATCAATTGTGAGTCACAATTGAAAGTCATAGTCACAATTGAAAGTCACATATACAATTGCTAGTCACAATTTTCCTCCACCACCATATCCACCATCTCAAAACAAACTAACACCCACTACCAAAAACCATTACAGGAACCATCACCACGGCACCACCAAAAACGAAACTAGCTCACAACCAGCACCACCATGAGAACTACCGTAACCGCCAGATAGACCACAACTAATAGCGCCGCCACCACCCAAATTCACTACATAACCACACTACCGCAAAACACCACCACATCACAAAAACCACCAACTGCAGGAACCTAGTGAACTCTCGCTATCATCATAAACACCACCAATGGTATAGGAATGTGTAAATCGCTCGTCGCTCTACTCGCACAGCAACATCCCCAACCACCGTCACACACTGCCTCACCATCCCAAAACTAACAAAAACCACCAGCACAACTGCCAACAACAACGAATCAATCTGTGACCATCACCAAACAAGATCATTGCTGCCACCACAACCACCAACAAAATCGTCGTCAAAACACCAACCACCACCCCAAAACCAACAAACCAATTAACCTGATTAGAGAAGCGTTTGGCGGTGGAAAGAAGGCGGTTGGACCGCAGAAGAGAGAGGAGGATGGAGAAGATCTCCTATCCGATCTATGAACACCGAATCCTGAGTCGGTCGGATTGAAAGATCAGATATAGGGAGTCCCGACCCCGGATCGGATGGTGGATACAGTAGTCTCGAAAATGTTGCCTTTGACGTTGAAATGTTGCCTTTGACGTTGAGCTTGATGCAGTCACCTCCGATGGCTTGGGTGGCGAAAGTATTGTTGGAAATTCTGTCCTTCGTGTACAATTGTTACTAGGAGCTTATTGCTTGGGATCAGTTCACGATCTGTCGTCGCGAGTGGCAATGGTGCGAGGGAGGAGTGGCGGCAATGTCGTGAGTGGCTGTGGTGGAGGGAGGAGAGAAGATGAAGAGAGGGGGAAAATGATGGAGGGAGAGACGGCCATGAAGAAAGGGAAAAATGGTGGAAATAATTTTAGGGTTTGGGATGAAAATTGTATATTTAATATTTAACATTTAAAAATAATATATCTGATATTTGAAAGGTGAAACTTGCCATCTGATTTTAGAACTCACATTTTTAAAAGTATGATTTTTTGTAATTTCCACGTTTGTTTATTAGGATACAAGTCCAAAAATTGTGGTAGTTATTTTCTCTTAGTTTTCTGACACTGATTATATTTGAGGAAATTTCTAAAAGTGAACCCAAGTAGGTACTTTCAAATGTTATTTGCAACAAAAATTGAGCTAACAATAATTAAAACTTAATTTCTCGGTACTAGAAACAACGAAAGAAGAAAAGTATTACAGGTTTCTCAAAATGTTTTGCATCCGTTAAGCAGAGAAATAAACACAGGGAATGGATCGTCTGCGCTTGAAGAGCTCAATATCAGTTAAATAACAGCGACAACACATAATATTTTCGCTGAAATCCAATCCCAGACCAGAAATTTCCGACATCCTCCTGCATTCACATGGTGGTCTTGAACGAGATTTTCTTTAGCAAATGTGACCAAAATCATTCACTGTTGGTGGAGAAGTAGAAGACCAATAATATTCATTGGAAGTATACGATGAGCCGATGATATACATTAGCTAAAAAATGCTACTGGAATCCATGATGTACCATCTATCTTGTTTGGAAATTCCATCCTGAATTAAGATTGATTACCAATCCCGGGGAGCAACCCACAGTTTATATCTGAATTGCAGCAAACTGGTGGAACAAATTCTCAGATTAAACAGTAAGGATAGTGCTAATCCCGACAGATTCAGACAAGAATAGACCCACGCGACTCATCAATCAGCATGCAAAGTCTTAGCATAAAAGGTACATCACATCCTCTCAACAGTTAATCTGATATTCTTCACGCAGATGGGTTTTAGGAGTCTTGAACTCAAGTACAGAAATATAATGTACAACAAAGAGAATTTATGCAAAGTTACAACTCTTCGATGAAATCTTGATCCACACAAGAAAGCTTGAGAGTGGAAGATGTACCTCTTAAAACATAATTTTTGATGAAGATAACGAGACAAATACAAAGATTACACTCAGCGCCGCGAGACAGAGGGTCCTCCAAAAGAATAGCGGTCGGAGACTGTTGTGGATGTGGATTTGCTCTTGCCGCCAAGGAGGTTGTATCTCTGATTGTATTCAGATGGTTCCCTGGAAGCATGTGATGGATATGGTCTTCGATTGTATTCTGACAGTTCATGAGGAAAATATGATGAATATGATCTTTCTCCATCAGGAATCATTCTTCCAGGATTAACTGCAGCACCACTGGTGGAGTTTGGATAATTTATAGGAGAATGTAATCTGGCAGGTGCTGTTGCTGTCATTGGTGGCAGCGAGAGATATCGATTTACCAACGATGTGGTGCTTTCATCATAAGGATTATATGCCTCTTTGGCAGCTTGATTAGTTCTTATGACAGGAGACACTTCAGTCGGCATTTCATGGGGACCTCTGAGTCCATAAGTGCGGTACTCTTTTTCACTGAGAAAAGTAGCATCAGGTCGACTGACTTCTCTCTGTTGTAAAGTTACATTGTTCATAGGAGCAGGGTTCCTTTGAAACTGATCCTTCTCTTGTTCAAGATTTCTAGGCTCCCGTGCATGGCCAACAATACCACCTACAGCAGTTGGCAAGAGATTACTTCCCTGTCGAAGACCATAATTTCTGTATTCTTGCTCTGTGAGAAAAAGCGGACGCTGTGAAGGAACATCAGTAGAAATTAATTGGTGCTCAGATAATTTCTTCTCTTTATCAAACTGGAGAATATCTTCTCCTGTTTTGCTACTGCCTTGACGCTTGAATTTCTCCCCAGTGTGCAAAATTGCTGTTGGCAAAATGTTTGGTGCAGGCACGGGTTCCGAACCCCGGACCAAAGATTTACCACTTGAATGCAACTTTGGGGTTGGCTGGAATAAGCTTGACAGGTGCTTTACCTGCAAGGAAGAGACAGGGGTTGGGAATATTTGCAGTTCGACTTTTACAAATAAACATTTTGAAAAATATAAAAATGCTGATAAATGAAAAAGACATGGTTATCTTCTTACTTGGGATGCGGTTAACTCTGTCTTGAACTTGCGTGTCCGTTCATCATAATTGTCTTTGATTGCTTTCTTAAATATATTCTCAGGTAGTGGAAGGCAGTCACTATGAACAGTGAAGCGGACCTGTAGAATGACAAATCATCATTGTAAAAATATCCTCGGGTTAAGAATGAATGCAAAACAAAGATGGGGTATCTAAAGAGAGCAACCTGAGCAGGGAAGGCCCCCCCATATGCAGCCGGTTCAAGTTTCATGCCACCAGCAGAAGATGCTTCATAGATTCCATACAGGAGCTTGAGATCAAAATCATAGAGGAAAAGCTTAAGACCAGGCTTGATGCCCATAACAAACTCTTTCCGGCTAGCTGAGATTCCCATCACGTGGTAACGGAAACAATCCGGTTTGGTTTTGGTATTGCACATAAAAATCAGTCCACCAAGATTTTTCCCAGACTTCTCATCTTCCTTTTTCCCCTCTTCATTCTTCTCCTTTATAATTCCCCTTTTCTCTTTCCCATGATGTGAACTTGCATCGCTTATATCTTCTTTTTTATTATTATTACTTTCTCCCACTCCTTCATTTGTTCTCTTCCTTTTATTGCCTTTTATGGCCTGAACTTCTGAAATGGTTTCTGCTTCGTTGCCTGGTGCATAATTCTTAATCAGACATTTGCCTGCAATCTGAGATTCAGGCTCAAGAGCCCTGAGAGGCTTCTTGCCAGAAAGTCCTGCTATTGAAACAGAATCCACAGCAATTTCGCCTTTTCTCTTGTTTTCCACTGGTTTTTTGACAGAAACTACTTGTTTAAATTCCGTGGCATCCCCACCTTTTTTCTTGTTTTTTGGCATTTTCTTGTTAGAAACCACCTCTTCAGAAGTAGATTCAGTGGCTACACGACCTTTTTTCTTCTGCTATCCAAACCTCTTCTCAACATCAGATGAAATATTGCAAATACCTGAGATGCGACAATTGTATGCATGAGGAAAGTGAATTCATTTCTAAATCACAAAGAGCATTCTGACATTAAGCAACAGCAAATATAGACACTCAATGGAGAATCTCAGGCCAATAAGCTATGACTACGAAACGAATTGGATCGGTTTTCTTCCATTTATTCCAAGGCAAGAATTCAACAATCCCTTAACCAAAACTAGGACTTCCAAAAACTAAAGAAAGAGCGGAATCTCCTCCGATTGCTGCTTTCGCGACCTGACTCCTGGGTAGGAGGGAGGCAGGAGCGTAGGGGGCGTAGGCCTCCCAAAAGGTAACGGAGGCGTGCAAAGGTTAAGAATTCCAAAAAGCATAATACTTAAAGAGTAAATGAAAGTCTTTTGCAGCTAAACAAAATGTATTGTTTTGGATCAAACAGAAAAATTGACAAGTTTCTTTTTTAGTTCAGCCATTTGGAAATGAGAAGAACATTTTCCGTGTGATATATTCGCATTTGAAACACCAGCAAGACAATAATTTTACACTTATGAAAATGGTCTCGAGTATGAGAAAGAACAAGAACAGTTCATAACAAGTGATATCTTTACAATCAAATGTACTATAACTTTCTAGTACTTTTTGATAGCCAGATACTCCTACCTTTTCATTTTCCCCTTACTTTCAAAATTGGTTTAACTCAATGCCTCTCCATAACTTTCCTTGTGTATTCACATATGGTAGCTAGGTTTCACATCTGATTTTAATTGTCTTCAGTTCATACAATTGACAGGGGCAGAAACTGAATTCACCTAAAATTTACGAACTTTTCTACTCCCATTATCTTCTTTTTTGCAGCAAGAAATCATAAGCAAATTAAAACATGATTCAAAATCCTACTCGGAAAAACCTTTATTAATTTTGCATATATTCGGTAATAACGTATTCAAAAACCTAATTTCTACTCCCCAAAATTAAGTACTGCCAAAAGTTAGACAAGAGAAAATCTCGAGCAAAATTGAAACAACCGGAGAAAACTTACAGCGAAAACAACATAAAAATCACAGGAAATGTTTATTCATCCCTATACAACCATTAATTGCAAAAAAATAAAAAATAAAAATAATAATAATAACAACAACAATTTCATAATTAAGTAAAATTTCTAGAAATGACCTCGAATTGATGCTTGGTCAATCTGAAGAAAAGAGTCGATCAAAAGAGAGCTGAACGAATAGATCAGATGCAGTTTTCAGGAAATTTTATACCGGTAAAAAACGATGATTACGTTTACATACGGGCTGGGCTATTAGAGTATGAAGTTATATTGGGCCCAAATTCAGCGTATCATTCAGGCTACCCTAAAACAATAATTTATATAGGACTTTATATTCCCCGTTTGAACCGCATTAATTTTCATTATTTTACATTTCATTTTTTTTTTCTTTTATTTTCAACCATACAATCTTCCATAAAATAATATTACACGTAAATCAAAAAATTTTCCTTCTTTTTATGTTTTACAAAAACATTTGATTTTGTTGCGTTTTTTGAAATAACTCATAGTCAGTTTTGGTGATAGATTTGACATCTAGTCAGCATCTATCATCGGCGCATGTCACTTTCGAGTCCACTAGGGTGATTCGGGACGGGTCGTGTCAGTAGATTTGCATCGTGAGGAAGATATAGACAGGAAGATGGAGAATTAAAGTAAGAATAGATTATTACAGTTTAAAAATGGTCTGAATTTTGATGGTCACGTGTCGGCACTCGGAGTTGGAGGAATCTTCGATGACGGTCGCTCCTTGACGACGATGATAGTGGAAGGATAAGGTAGAGAGATAGAGAGAGAGACGGGATATGATAAGGGAAGAATTTAGGGGAAATGATTAGGGCTTTAATTGAATTGGATGGATTAAATATATATAATACCAGATTTTTGCATAAGTAAACTTCATCCCCTAATTTTGAATTTGAAAGTTTTAATACTTAGTTTTATGCAATTTCCTCAATTTTATACTCCTAAAATCTTAATCCGTCAAATGAAAATTCGAAATTCTCTTTTCAAAAAATCGTTAATAATGAATAAATCGAAGGGTGCCAGTGAAAACAGTTAAACCCATCAAATCAAATCGAAACAATCTTTTTCAATGGTTAGTAATCCCACGTGCTTCTATCAATAGCCGTAAATATTTAAAAATTTGTTTTCTAATTGACTATTTAGGCCTCGTTTGATTGCGAAGAATGAAAAGGAAAATGAATTCCACCTAAGTTGGAAAACAAAAAATCACCATACCCATAAAAATTCGTTTTTCATGGAATTGACAAAAAACGTGCTTTAAATGGTTGTACATAAGAATTCGAATTCCATTTCCACATGCGAATCAAATAGTCAAAGTAAAAATTATTTTCCTTGGACGAGACATTTTCCATTGAAAATGTTGCAATCAAACAGGGCCACTAATTGAGCTGATTTTTAATTAATTCATTTTGTAATTGTTTTCCTCTTAGAGATAATTATGAATTTCAATTAATAAAAGAAACTTGATATTTTATTTAGTGCATGTGTCAAGGTCGATAATTTAGATTATACACAAAACATTCTTAATTTCTTGCTGGATTATTAATTTATATTGTTACTAATTATAGAATTGTAAATACTACTCATTTTAACTAAAATAAATTACTAATTGTCTATCTTTATATTGTTAATCCCAACTTATGTTATATAATTCTCATGAACATTGTGAATAATTAATCCATTTAATGAAGGAAAATAAGATTAGTTTATATTTCAAAAAATAGAATTAATAATTTCACCAAAAATATTCAGATTATACAAATATAGCACTCTTTTTCTGCTTCTCCAGAAATATAGAAAACAGTGGCTTTCTATTTAAATTTTAGTTGAAAAAGTGCCATATAAAATTAGCTTACAAATCAAAATAAGAAGGGAAAAGGGGCATTCCGAGAATCGAACTCGGGACCTCTCGCACCCAAAGCGAGAATCATACCACTAGACCAAATGCCCAGATATGCATTTTGCATTTTACTACTAATATATCTCCATTTTCATTTCAGAAGTTTATGAAAAATACAGTCTCCGTACAATCGTAAGAACGTGTATGGAGACTGTTAAAGATTATTTTTATTATAATTATTTTTCTTAAACTATTTTATCGATTGTGAATGGTTCCATTTAATGTATACGATTCCAAATTTAAGGTCGACCGTGCAGACAGAGACATATACATGTACAATTGGTACCCGACTCCCATTTACTCGATATATATAACTAATGCGACTTTAAATGTGCAAGTAATATTACTGGACTAGGAATTCTAAATAAAGTAGGATTCAAGAAAAGTTCAAACAAATAGAGTTTAGTTATTATACTTCACTGTACCTCTCTCTGTTATGAATTTCTCGCCAGTCACAGCGATCGTCCTCTCAAATGGCATATTTCCCCACAAATTCTAATGGGTAAGTGCAGAAATTCGATTATTTCCTCAATGATATGCTGTTATAGTTTTTATTTTTTCCATTTTTTGTTTTCCCGCGCTGTGTTTTTCTTCAATTTGAAGATTTTGTTTGCAGGATGTGAAAAACTGTCTATTATATTTCGTTTTTCCCGAACAAATAGATAGTTTTATTGTTTTTGAATTTTTTTATTTATTTTTTTAAATTGGGATTAAACATTATGTATCACTCTGAATCTGAGTTGGATGTTTTGGGATAAATGGAATGTCTTGATAATAATTTTCTCTAATTAACCTGAAATCATGTTAATTATGCCCTATATTTTTTCCGCAGAATTAAATTGATTTATGAAAAAAATTTAGACGGACGTCACGGGGAATCCATTGCTCAATGGTGTTAAAAGCATTTAACATCGAAATCGAGCAGTTTACATGTGAGGCTCAGATACTGATCCTCAACTGCATATTGTTTCCTACGAATTAGCCTATTTGGTGAACATAGAGGGATTATTTGTCATTTTTTTCAGTTATATGTGAGCACAATCATTATGTGAATAGGACGCAATCCGAGTGTGAATTTAGAAGTTATGAATCTGAGTTTGAAGTATATGCAAGTGCAACGAGAATTAACCTTCTTTCAAGTTAGATGTTTTTTTGGTATCTTATATATTTTTCATGCAATTAGCGTTTTCCTTGATCATTATTCTTTTATTCTTTGTCAAATTCAGTAGTTGCTTCGTCCCTTGATTTCATCATCGCATTACACTAATTTTCTTTTGGAGATTCGAGCAACAAGAAGCTCTGATAATATTACTTGTTTATTTCGTATTTATTTTTCTTATTTATACAGGTGGGTGATGATCATTTATACAATGTGTGTCAATGTTTTTTTAGGCCGTCTTTGAGTGAAGTTTGAAAACGTATGTTATATTTAGTTATTTATTTTAGCATAATATGTAATTTTCATTTATTGTAAGTTTCCTATTATTTTTAGGTTTCCTTGTAGTAGTATAAAACCTGTTTTATACTTTCTTTGAAAACTCAATTGATGGCTTAATAGATTTTGGTTCCCTCTTTATTCTTCTTCTCTTTTCTTCCTTTTGAATTGATTCAACATATTGATTTGAGATTCATTATATTGTTATCATGGTATCAGAGCCTATAATTGAGTTAAAATTTGTGAAATTTCTGTTTGGGTCGTGCTGAAATCAAGATAGAAATCAGGTAAAGAAAGTTTGTATGAAAAACCTATTCGACAGCAACTTAAAATCAAGATTCCGACCAAACTGGAGATCCATTAAGAAAACGGAGACCAGATCCTTGTTCAGCAGGTTGAGACGAAACGTCCGGTCAGACGCGTATCGGTTTTTGGCAGCGCGTGGCGGTGGCGCGTGAGAACCACGCGCAGAGGCGGTGGTGGCGCGTGAAGGCGCGTGAGTGGTTTTTTCGGGGTTATTCCAAAAGGCAGTTTATTCCTTGGTAAATTTCTGATCTTTTGGTGGTATTAATTTGGTTATACGTATACTGTGCTGTATATTTTAACTATAGTTTGTGGAAGTACGTTGGTTATTGTTGGTATTTATTGACTTTATGATGGCTACTGAAAGAGATGATTCACTTCAATTCATTAGTGTCAGACTAAATGGTAAAAATTACTCGTATTGGAGTACAGTGATGAGAAATTTTTTAAAGGGAAAAAGATTATGGGGCTATGTTAGCGGAACTATTGTGAAACCCGAGAACACTGCTCAGAATTATGTAACAGAGTTAGATAATTGGGAGTCAAACAATGCGAAAATTCTCACTTGGATTCACAATTCCGTTGAGCAATCTATTGGTACACAATCAGCAAAGTTTGAAACAGCAAAAGAAGTTTGTGAGCATTTTCAAACGTTATACACTAAATCTAACTTTGCAAAACGGTATCAGTTGGAAATTGATATACGGGCTTTACATCAGAAAGATATGAGTATTCTTGAGTTCTACGCTGCTATGAACTCTATCTGGGATGAGCTGGCTCTTACGGAATCAGCAGGACTGAAAGCATGTGAGGAATATATTACTTTTAGAGAGGAGCAGCGATTAGTTCAATTTTTGATGGCACTTCGCAGTGATTTTGAGGGACTCGGAAGCTCTATTTTACATCGCACTCCACTTCCTTCAGTTGATTCGGTGGTTAGTGAACTTGTAGCTGAAGAAATACGTTTAAAATCTCTTGTAGGAGAAGTATCTCTTCCTCCATCTAGCACCTCAGTGTTGGCTGTACCTTCTCGACTGTTCACACAGAACCAGAATAAGGGTTATGTGCGAGCTGCTACTGATGAGTGTAACTTTTGTAAACAAAAAGGACATTGGAAGTCTCAATGTCCAAAGCTATTGAAAAAGCAGCAACCTCAATCACACCAGCGATCTTATCGTCCCAATGCTAACATAGCTGCCACCATGCCACCTAATGATTCATCCATACTTGGAGCACCACCTTCATCCAATCCCATGTTGACGGACTTAGCAGAGCAGTTTCAGAAATTCTTAGCCACACAACCACATGCTATGTCAGCCTCCACTCATATAGGTTTGTTATCACAGAATCACTCAGGTATTTCTTCCTCATGGATCTTTGACTCAGGTGCTTTCAAACACATGTCGTCTAATTCAAAACTCTTTAATGACTTGCGTCCTTCTAACCCATCTATGTCTGTTATGACTGCTGATGGTACACCATTACCTTTAGCAGGTGTTGGTTCAGTTAATACACATAATTTGTCACTGTCAGATGTCTATTGTGTTCCAGCTCTTACTTTGAATCTTATCTCTATTGGTCAATTGTGTGATTCTGGATACTTAGTTCAGTTTTCTTCTACTGGTTGTCATGTGCAGGATCCTCAATCTCAGAAGTTGATTGGGATAGGCCGTAGACAATGGGGGTTATATGTTCTGGACAATCTAAGATCATCACACGTTGCAGCCTCTAGTGTTGATTTGTCATCTTTTTCTTTGAATTCATCGTCTTCTAGTTTTTATTTATGGCATTCTCGCCTTGGACATGTTTCCGCTAGTCGTTTAAAAATTTTAGTTTCTAAGGGTCAATTGGGAAATATACAAACTCATGATATTTCTGATTGTAGTGGTTGCAAATTAGCAAAATTTTTTGCTTTACCTTTTCCTCGAAGTATTTCTCATTCTATTGCACCATTTGATCTTGTTCATTCTGATGTGTGGGGACCTGCTCCAGTTACTACAAAAGGAGGGTCTCGATATTATGTGTCCTTTATTGATGATTATAGTCGTTATTGTTGGGTTTATCTTATGAAGCGACGATCTGACTTTCTTTCTATTTATCGATCATTTAGAGCACTTATTAAAACTCAACATTCAACTGCAATCAAATGCTTTAGATGTGACTTGGGTGGAGAGTATACTTCATCCGAATTCTCTAAATTGCTTACTCTTGACGGCACAATTCATCAAACCTCTTGTGCTAATACCCCACAACAAAATGGCATTGCTGAACGAAAGTATAGGCATATTGTGGAAACTGCTCGTTCACTTCTTTTATCTGCCAAAGTTCCCAGTGAGTTTTGGGGAGAAGCAGCTCTTACTGCTGTTTCTTTAATTAATAAGATTCCATCTTCCCACAATTTAGGTTTATCACCCTTTGAAACATTGTATGGGCATCCTCCGGATTACTCCTCATTGAGGGTCTTTGGTTGTACTTGCTTTGTTCTTCGTCCTGAAGTTGAACGTAATAAGTTGACATCTCGGTCTGCTATTTGTGTTTTCTTGGGTTATGGGCAAGGGCAAAAGGGTTAACGTTGTTTCGATCCCATTAATAATAAATTATATGTCTCTCGTCATATCGTGTTTCTTGAGCACATTCCACTCTTCTCCGTTTCTGATAATACTCATAACGTAACCAAAATCGATCTCATTTATATTGATCCATTCTCTGATGATATAAACAATTCACCTTCCCATACCCCATGTACTATTGATTCTTCATGTCCTGCAGGTACACATGCTTCAGATCATGCTACCCCTCCTCCTTCTATGGCTTCCCAAGCACCGCCTGAGATTGTTGATCCAACTCCTGCTTCATCTCTTCCTCGTTATTCTCAACGTATTCGTAAGTCCACTCAGTTACCTGATTTTGATTATTCTTGTTATTCTGAGTCCTTTTGCTATCTTCTAACATCCATTCATAAGTTAGTTGAACCATCTTCCTATAAAGAAGCTATTTTGGATCCTCTTTGGCAACAAGCTATGGCTGATGAACTTTCTGCTCTACATAAGACAGACACTTGGGACTTGGTTCAATTGCCTTCAGGTAAACATACTATCGGTTGTTGTTGGGTTTATAAGATTAAAACCAAATCTGATGGTTCGATTGAACGCTACAAGGCTAGATTGGTTGCTAAAGGTTTTAATCAACAGTATGGTTTGGATTATGAGGAGACTTTTGCTCCTGTTGCCAAGATGACCACTGTTCTACACTTATTGCAGTTGCATCTGTTCGTCAGTGGAGTCTCTCTCAATTGGATGTTAAAAATGCCTTTTTAAATGGAAATCTTCAAGAGGAGGTTTATATGGTTCCTCCTCCTAGTCTTTCTCACACTCCTGGATTTGTTTGTAAACTCAAGAAGGCACTTTATGGCCTCAAACAAGCACCTCGTGCCTGGTTTGAAAAAATTTCCACTGTTGTTAGCTCTCTTGATTTTACATCCAGTCATCATGACTCCGCTTTATTCTTTAGATGCACTTCAGCTGGTCGCATTCTATTATTGCTATATGTTGACGATATGATTATTACTGGTGATGATGTTGATGGAATTGCAAGTTTGAAATCAGAATTGGCTTGTCGTTTTGAAATGAAGGACTTGGGCACACTGTCTTATTTTTTGGGGATCGAAGTTGCTTCTTCTCCTAGAGGTTATCTTATCTCTCAGTCCAAGTATACTATGGATGTCATTGAGCGTGCTCGTCTTACTGATAATAAATCTGCTGATACTCCTCTTGAGTCCAATGCTCGATATTCATCCTCTGATGGTGTCCCATTGACTGATCCCACTTTGTATCGCACTATTGTTGGATGTCTAGTTTATCTTACCATCACACGTCCTGATATTGCCTATGCTGTTCATATTGTCAGTCAATTTGTTTCAGCTCCTATTACAGTTCATTGGGCAGCAGTTGTTCGTATTTTGTGTTATCTTCGTGGTACATGCTTTCAGAGTCTTTTGTTTCCATCAACCTCATCCTTAGTGCTCCGTGCCTACTCTGATGCTGATTGGGCCTGCGACCCTATTGATTGCAAGTCCACTACGGGTTTTTGTGTATTTTTGGGTGATTCACTTATCTCTTGGAAAAGTAAGAAGCAGACTGTTGTTTCCCGCTCCTCTATAGAAGTAGAATATCGAGCTATGGCATCCACCACCATTGAGATTGTGTGGTTGCGATGGTTACTTGCAGACATGGGTGTTTCTCATTCCTCCCCAACTCCCATGTATTGTGATAATACTAGTGCCATTCAGATTTCTCACAACTCTGTGTTCCATGAACGCACAAAGCATATTGAGATTGATTGTCATCTGGTTCGTCATCATCTGCAGACTGGCACCATTTCCCTACCTTTTGTTTCTTCATTGTTGCAGTTTGCTGACTTCTTCACTAAGTCTCATCCAGTTCATCGTTTTCGCTTTTTGCGTAACAAACTCTCGCTTCTTCTTGCTTTAGCATCTTGAGTTTGAGGGGGGATGAAAACGTATGTTATATTTAGTTATTTACTTATATTTAGTTATTTATTTTAGCATAATATGTAATTTCCATTTATTGTAAGTTTCCTATTATTTTTAGGTTTCCTTGTAGTAGTATAAAACCTGTTTTATACTTTCTTTGAAAACTCAATTGATGGCTTAATAGATTTTGGTTCCCTCTTTATTCTTCTTCTCTTTCTTTTCTCTTTTCTTCCTTTTGAATTGATTCAACATATTGGTTTGAGATTCATTATATTGTTATCAAAGTTTAGATTGTTCCATGGGTTGATCTACCGCCCGAGCTTCTGTCACTAATTACCAGTTCTTTGGGCATAATTGATCTTCTTAGTTTCCGTGGTGTTTGTAAGGATTGGCGCTTGGCTCCTTGCACGGCTTCGGCCGAGGTTGAGTCCGATCCAAGCTCTAAGCCCTGGTTTATACTCTTTGGAGAGACTGAATATTGTACCTTGTACAATCCAAATGACAAGATCTATAGTATCAATTTTCCGGAGCTAAAACATTCGACTTGCCTTGCATCAAACCAGGGATGGCTACTTCTCTTCCAAGAAGGCTCCATTTTCTTCTTCTGCCCCTTCTCACAAGCCAGAATCGATCTCCCATGGTTTCCTCACCAAGAAATCTCCGAACATATTGCGGCATTCTCATGCCCTCCCACTTCATTGGAATGCATCGTGTCAATCATCAATCGATGTGATGAAAACACATTGGAGATAAACGTGCTTAAGAGAGGAGAAAATGCATGGACTACACACACATTTGAACTCAACAAACAGAGCTTTGGCACGATTATTGGAGGCATATTCGATGATGAAATGGGAACCTTTTATTATTTAGATAATGCCAGCCAAACTTTGACCTTCTCTATGGAGGCAAGCAAGGAGACAAACTACGTTATATATCAAATTGTAACCGATTCACCTGATGACAAGAGTGTTGGCTACCTGCCATTTTGTTTCGAGAAGAGTTATTTCAGACATTCGGATTTACAAGATAGGATAGGACTCAAGGATGAATTTTCGATTTCAATCTGTGGGGCAATCATACGGGGACATGGGGTGAACATTCTTATTAACAACGAATGCATCGAGGCATCAAACAGGTCAGAAAAATGCCAAATGAAAGGAATATGGATTCAACCAAGATTCTTCAAAATTCCTACAACTCAGAGCTGGTAAATTTGATGGTTTGTTGTTCTTCTAGCATTAGCAACATTCTAATTTTTGTGCTATTTATTCATTAGGCAATTTTGAACACTGGGAGCAACGTATTCATTAGCATGTAAAACTTTAGCCGTTTCTTGTTTTTCCTTTTCCTTTCCTTTTCCCCCCCTCGATCCGATATACTTCTGCACATTATTACTGGAGATTGACAGTAAATGTTTCTCATTGCATGCCTTTTCTTTTACTATCTTTGCCCCCTAATTGGTGGGGATTAAATTTAGATATTTAGTAGATTTTGGAGTGTGTTTGAGCCCCTTTAATTTTGAAAAATGTATTATGGAATAGTAGATTGATGGAGAATACGTGATTAAAAAATAATGAAAAGTTTTTTATTTGCATATGATATTATTTTAATGAAGATTGTATACTTGAAAATGAATATTATAGAAAAAATAATGTGGTAGAATGTAAAATAATAAATAACAAATAGGGGTTTGATAAAAGTTAATAAAATGTGTTGTTAAAAATATGCGGGTTTCATAAAATATGCGATTATAATTAATTGTTGACTTTGATTTATATCAAAATCTAAAAGCCAGTTTGTCTTTCATTATAGGAGAAATTACAGAGTTTTAAATAATATCTTTTGGAGAAAGTTTTGTTAAAATTTAAAGAAACTTTATTGGTTTGTGTGTAGAATGTTTTATTATGTGGATGTTTGGTAGAAAATGTTACTATAATGAACAATTTAATTTGTTAAATGATGACAAACATGAGCTAAATTTTAATCTGAACCAAATAGGGGCTAATCTTGTCGAATATTGTTCAATCTATCTCTGGTCAAACTCTACAGTTAATTTTGACCACATGTTTTATGGGATCCACACTTTTTATTATCAAAAATTGTTAAAATTTCTAATCCCCTCCAAATTGAGACTAAATGTAAACAAGATACCATGACTATATATATTTTTTTATCGGTACCACATTGACTATATTTAATTGTACTTAACGAGTACTAAGCCTCCATTTGGAAAATTTACTAATCGTTTATAAATAGGAAAAGTAAGATGAACATCAAGAAATGTGTGGATAATAATGTGTAAGTAAGTGTCTTTTTATCATAATCTGAATATACTTTTCTTCCTCACCTCCACATCCAACCCCTTCCCCTCGCTCGAGGGGGCAGGGCAGCCGCCGTGGAGATGCAAGAGTGGGGGAGGTGAGATGGGGTGGGATGAAGTGGGGAAAGAATGGTACTTATTTTACTGAAGACAACAAACATTTGATCTTTTACTACAAAACATAGGCTCCATTTCACCAAGGTAAGGTAATTATAATTTATCTTTTTCATAATCTTTAAATTCGATCTCGTTGAAAAATGTGTCATCTTATCTTTTAAAAATTGAAATTTTTTTTTTTAAGATGATTGATAATTAAATCATTGGTACAGCCCCTGAGCTAGAATTCAATCTCATCCATCCAAAGTCTAAATCCAAGAACTCAAATTATTCCAAATTGAATAGAAAGCATCCCATGTGCAATTTGAATATTATAAATATCCATGGTTTTTCTTAAGACAGAAGAATTTCACGGGCTATGAATACTGAAAAACAGGAATAGCCACTTCAGAAAATGACATGAGCAACCTATTCACCATGTGTTTCCAGAACATATGCCATTCATCAAATCTTGTCTCTTTGCTCAACTTGACAATCTGGCATTTTAGCACTACCATAAACTTCTCTCGATTTTTGTGTCAAATGTTCATAGCAGACGTCGACGGGACTGACCAATATAATAATGAACAAGATTTTAACTTCTTTATCTTTTCCAATACTGTATTATGCTACCCGTAATGAGAGAGATTTTTGCTTCTTTTTCACCCTTCATATTGAATACGCCATCAGGATAATGTTTTGTGTGCCGTACTTTTGACAGAACTGAGAAGTAGAGCCCGAACTACTTCTTTTATACTGTCCTATAACATGTTATCCCACTTCCAAAACTAACCACCATAGTGATATATTGATAAATTTCCTCCATTCCAATCATTCATTTCATCATTCTCTTAAAAATCAATACATTCATTTCAGTGCCCTCTGAAGAATTAATGGCTTCCTCCATAAGTTCATTTCTCTTTTTTGCTATGTTTTTCATGGCATTTTCCTCTTCATTCGCCTTAAGAAAGGCATCCCAGTTGAGTGAACCAGCCTCTACTATTTCTGCTGCACCTGCATTATTGCCTTATCCTCCATTATCTGCACCACCACCAGCTCTATCACCAGATATTGCTCCACTCTTTCCCTCTCCAAGTGGCTCTGAGCTTTCTCCAAGCGAGTCCTCAATGCCTACCATACCTTCCAGCCCCAGCCCCCCGAATCCTGACGTAATGGCGTCTCCTGGCCCTGGAGTCGCACTTCCGCCAGAAGAGCTCCTGCCGGATTCCTCTGCATTGCCTCTAAACTTACAGGTATCTGTATGTTTCATGTTGGCTCTGTCTCTGGTGGCATTTTGATCAATGCAGCTTTCCGGTGCACAAAATTGAAGGCCAAGGTATTTTGATGTTGACAATTCCAATTATTGTTGAAGTTTTTACTTCTTCTAAGGATTACATATATATGTGTAGATTGTGTGTTATTTGTTGTCAAGTTTAGTACGTAAAGATTGTTAGTAGAAACTGGCTTGTTGACTTGTATGGCATATTTATGAAAATTGATTGGAATCCAATAAAATATATTAGTTCAAAGATATCTTCTGTTATACAAAACAAATTTGAATGGTCGGTGCCGGGAATGAAGCCCTCGTTCTAACTACGGGATCAATAATAAGCAAAACGAACTAGAAACACGTAAAGCAGACACTCAGATTTTGTAGCTGAGTCTGTAGAATCTGTACACATGAATCCTTCAGCGTAAAAATATCTGTTCTACTAACTCGACAGCCCAGTCTCAAAGACGCAATGAGTACCTTTTATATAGATCATACACACACCACCTTAAGTTCTAGGATGATGGCATTTGGCTTCTCTACATGCTCAACAAATATTAGAGATTAAGAGGATATTGGATGAAAATGTGGCAAAAAGGCCAATAAATGAATGAATGGTAATAGAAAAACACACTACTATGTTTTAGTTCAGAAAAAAATCCTATGACCGATATAAATCCTTACACACCACATACTATATATCAATACATACTGCCGAATGGCGTAGATTCATATCAAGACTCTAAAGAGCAACTATATAATGCCTGCAATGGTAGAAATCCATGGAACAACCTTCCCAAGAAACTGTCATTAGACCTGTTGAATTGGGGCTTTTCTTTCTTTGGCATGTTTAAAGCGTTACAATTCTTCCTCAGCCTGACATTTTCCTCCCTCAGCAAATCCATGGCAAAACTCAGTTGTCTAATGACTTCCAGTTTCTCATCTTCCTTTTGCAGTAGCTGCTCCTTGAGAACCTCGTTCCCTTCTCTGAGTCTCTTCAATTCTTCTTTCAGCTTCATCAGTTCCGTTTTTTCAATTACGTCATTATCTTGTACTGTTTAAACTTCTTCTGGATCGTCAACCTCGGACTCATCCGATTCCTCTGGTCCATAAGTCTCTGAGTAGCTATCATATGCTTTGTCACACAAGCTTATAGACTTCTCAAGTAGAGATTTGTTAATAGATAACGGAGATGACCATGGTGTTGTTACAAGGCGGGTTCCAGATTCAGACTTGACCTGATCATATCCCTCAGCTAGTGAGCGCTGGGCTTGATAAAGATCTTCGACTGTGTTAACGAGTTCTGGTCTTCTCTTGTAGTACATTTCTGCACGTTTGGCGAAGAAATCTGCATCTTCCTCGACTAGTTTCAGCATTGTTCTCGTTTTCTCATCAAGCCCTGCAAGATTTTCATGAAGCACATATTAAATATTTCATTTTCAGATACAAATTCTAGGCATACAATTATTGCCATTATCTTCCCAAATTGTACCATCACCTAACACTTACTGAATCGAGACCAACTGCAGGGAAAATGTCATCTGATTAATAAAGTCATTAAGGCATGGATAGAACAGACATCATAAATTTTGATGAATATACTGAAATGTAGCACTTAAGGAACAAGATTCCTCATCCTCGTAGAATCTTTCTCATCTTTACTCAAAAGTAACCACACTTTGCATTCATACGTGTAACGGAACTACAGGGGTTCCATAAATCAATAGGCTATTAAAAACTACAGCCATCCCACCATCACATCACGGATAGGAAATGTTTGGTTCACTGCACCGGAGAGAATCGGACAATACAACAAATAAGATTGTAACTTTTTTTTCTTCACCACCAAACATCTTAATAACGGTTTATCGAAGAGTGGATATCATATAAAGACCTCAAATTTCAATCAAATGACCCCTGTGACATGCATTCATAATACTGTTCCACTGACTCATAATGCCTGTGGATCCCTCCATATTACACTTCTGACACTACAAAGACTAGATCTTGAAATGTTAGAAGAAAATTATCGAGTGGTGGACCAAACATTCGACCGCGAATCGTGTTCTTATTCAACAGTTTAGACAAAAACCATAATGGGCAAATCCATGTACGCCTAAAAATCTAACACCTAGGTTCTTTTATCTTCAAGGATACTGATTTCAACCCATAAAATTTTAACCTTTTGGAGTGTTTTGATTTATATTCTACTTGCGTAAGACAAAATTGCAATTTCACGATAGCTTAAACTTCTTGAGGAGAAAAAAGAGAACACTAAAGGAAGTGGGTTGACCTGCAAGTGTGGATTGAAGCCCATGGAGATCGATTTGAGCTACTCTTGTTGTGACTTTCAAACCACCAATGGTCTGATGACACCTTGTTTTTTGCCTCCACCATTTTTTCTTCTTCTCTCCTTCAAAAACATACAAAAAATTCCCAATCAACAACTTATATCCTTAACAAAAACTAAACAAAAAAGAAACTTATATAAAAAAATAAAAAAAACACTGGTATACACTCCCTTTTCACACAGTTCACCTTCACTGTGTGCCAGAAAATGCGTGAAAAAACACTGGAATGAGAGAGCTACCCTAGTTTTCTTCTTCCAAGAAACGATCGACTCGACCGGTGGAAAATTGCAGCTGCCTCCCTCTCACTCACTCACAGAATGGAACAGTGAAGAGATGACTGTACAATCACCCTGTGTTTTTGTCTTGTCTGACTATTTTTAACCCGTTAGAAGCTCCCACGTGTTTTTTGTCTGGAATTCTCAAAATCCACGAAGAAATGGGTTTAAATAGCACACGCAGATTCAAGTTATTCACTTTTGTACCCTGAGGAATGGTCATTAAATACAACCAAACCAAGGTACCTAGAACATAAAAGGTTCAACTCGTTGCTTTTCAATTTTTGTGGAGGAGCGCCTCCAAATAAAAAAGGCACTGCAACGGTCGAATATTTGCCTACTTTTTTTAATATATTAATGCTATTTTGCACCATCAATGTTAAAACGTCAGTCTAAATATCATTATGTAATAGGATAAACGAAAGATACAATTAAATAATTCATTTAATTATAACTCTCATTTAGGGTGTGTTTGAGCCCCATTATTTGGCATTATAATGAGATGAATAGTATTTTTTTTTTGAAAAATGAGTGGTTGAAATTTTTTTGATTTACATGTAATATTATTTTATTGAAAATTGTGTGGTTAAAAGTAGGAGAGAGAGAGAAATTTAATTTAATTTAATGACAAATAATGGGGCTCAAACGGGGGCTTAAATATCATTATAGCGCTATCTAGATGGGTGTTCAAACACCAGTGATACTAAATAATATTATTCTTTTTTTATATACTGAATTTTTCTAAAAGTATGTAAATTTTGTAATTGATTTTGTTAAGAATATCAGAAAATTAAGAGTCTATTTGGGAGTGGTTTTTAGAATTGATTTTTTGACCGTTAGGAGAAAAGTGGAGTCCACCTGTGAGAGAAGAAGTCAAATACGATGGTTGGAATAGTGAAAATCAATTTTTTGGGTGAAAAAATCGAGTCCAAACAGGCTCTAAGTGTACTGGTTTGTTGATTCATGGAGCCTTGAGTTTAAGACATAAATCAAGTGAAAGATGACATTACTATCGAATCTAGATAGATTATTTTTAAAATTAGTGAATGTGTAATGACGTAATTACGATAACAAAATCATTAAATTTTTTAAGTTCACAAAACCGAACTCTAAAAATTTGATACTATTTAAGCAAAAAAATTGCGCTGCAAAAAATTAGGCCAAAAATTGAGTGTCATTTAAGTATGGGGAAAAATACTGCCTCAAATCCTTTTTTTTCCCCCCTCAAAAATACTTTTAATATCTCCACAACTGTGATTTTAGGAAAATCGGACGTCGTCACACTCTAGATTTCAATGAAAGGATATTGAAGTGATTTTTGTCAATTGAAGTTCTAATTCTGGAAATTTTTTAGCTATTTAATGTAATGAATAGTTCTTTTCAAATTAAATTTACTCTTTTAATTTCCTCGATAAAATACCTTTTTATTCTTCTGAAAAAAACTACAATCTTGCTAGTGGTACACAACCGTGTACCTAAGGGTGTACCTAATGGACACCCTACACCTCGGCATTGGCCGAGACACTTGCCATGTCGGTGCCCACAGGCGCCTCAGCCAATACCGAGGCGCCGGGTGTACATTAGGTACACCGTTATATACACGGTTGTGTACCTTTATCATAATTCAAAAAACTATTACCCCCAAACACAAGTTTTGTAACCTATATAGAGAGTATTGGTTCATGATCTTACCTCTATAGACAAATCCATACATCACCATGTTAAACTTCTAATCATTCTTAAATTTCATCAAAACCTTAAGCCTATTAGACTAAAAATGATCAAAGATGAAAAAAAGTAAGATGTCTATATGTTTTCCTTTCCAATTTATTTCAATTCAACGTAACAAACACTATCAAAAATCCTAAACACAGACCATGCTTGTAATCATCCACGTCCACGTTACAAGGTTATCCCGAGTCCTTCATTGTCATTGTTACATGCTCCAATCTCACGTCTCTCCTAAAAATAATCTAACAAAAAACAGAAAAGGAAAAGGAAAAGGAAAGAGATCAAGAAATAGACAATCATAAGGCTTGTTATTGTATTTACAAGCAGACAATCTTGCTTACTGTCTATGTAATGAATGTTGCTAGCATGATTTCTGCATTAGAACGAGGACAGTTGCAAGAACCTTAAAAAAAGGGTTCTACCACAGACTACCAGCATCCTTAGGAGCTGCTGGTATTTCAAAATTCTATGTTTTTTTGTTGTTCTATTTAAGGATACTGCATGTTCCTATGAATCTGGAATATATGTCAAAATCAAAATCCTTTGTCTCCTAACGAGGGATGCATGAAAGCATCATCGATACGATATCAAACAGGCCAAGCGGCTCATCGGCTGCTCGGGTTCGTCAAATGATGTGCCTGAGCACGAGCCGAGCAAGGGTGGGATCCAGCGAGCTGAGCAAGGCTCGACTCGTAGAGCTCGCAAGCGTGCCCACAAGCCAAAAGTTCATGAGCCATGGGCTTGTGAAAAATGTGAAGAAAAGGTTTGAAAATTTTCAAAAAATAAAATAAATAAAATAAATCGACCTCGTGGGTTTAAGGACCGAGTCTTGCCACCACTAATCATCGAACTTTCTCTGATAATGATGCTTTGGAGCACGAGTAAATTGGATCCACTCGAACCATTTTTAATGTCTGACTCTTGCTTATCTACAACGCCCCAAATTTGTGGAACTCGAAGTGTTAAAAAAATCTTCTTCTTTGTTTGATCTCTTTAATGTTAACCGAAATAAATTGTAAATAAGAAAAATTTTGGAGTTTGAAACATATAAAATTATAATGGGAGATATTTGTCCATATAGACTTTAGACAATTATGGTGTAATTTGGAGGAAATTCAATAAATACTGGTACGCAGGAGCAAAAAGAGAAAATATGTTTGAATTAGTAAACGTTGACTAAAAACTATGAAATTTTAACAGAGATTATGACATTCATATACGTACTTCTTAAAAAAATTGGGGTCTCGACGCTAGTGTTTGAAGCATGAAAATATTGTTCGACTATGCTGGACAAAAAATCGAAACTGACTCGACGCAGTCTCCTAAAACAGAAATAACTTTTTCTCTAGATAATATTTTATAGTAATTTCAAAGACTACTATGAGAAGACTCATAAACCTTTGAAACTCCACTGATTTCACTCTAAAACGTGCACTGTGGCTCAAGTTACGTCATTTCCAAATAGAAGGACAAAATTTGAGATTCGATCCAGTAATAAATAAATTTTATGCATAATCATTCCAACATTTCCAAATTATGGTTGACATGAAAAGTATATTAAACTAGACGAATTAGAAAATTAAATATTTTAAAAGTGTCATCTAAATGTTCGTAAAAGGTTTACACAACTAAAAATTTTTCTTCTAGGAAGTTGAGATCATTTCAAGTTGACGAGCACTCGCCAACATGCCAAACCACTATCATGTCATCAACTAACATGTAAATTTAGTAGGAATGAGTACCACAAATAATATTCAGTAGGAGATACATAAGTAAATAGATAAAAAAAATATATGTTTTCTAAAATTGCAATCTTTATTTATTTGTGTCATTGTTAATTTCAAGCGAACTGGTGATCAACTAGTCCGCATACTCTTAGGTTTTAACAACCCCAAAATTCATCTCTTAGTTGAAACACCAAAGGGTGCTTCCATTCTCTCATGAGTAACACAATAGCACATTAATGTGAATCAAAAATAACAAATTTTTTTACTCAACTTACAAAAGTGTCGAAAAAAAAATCCTACCTTAGATACTTAGAGTTTGAATATTCTTTTGCATTCAATATGTAATAAAATCCAGAGTACCCTTTTCCTCTCCTTTAGAAATTTTTCAGATTTTTGCCTTGTGTCTATGGAAAAGGGGCAAAATAATTTTATGCATAGGTATAATAGTTTGGGAGAGAAAACGTGGCTTTAGAGGTTGTAGGAGGCTTTTTGTTTTTTCAATTGCAAGATGATAATGGTGATTGGCATTAACCAAAATGGGATTAAAACAATGGTAGTGGAATATTAATGATGTGTATAAATGAACTTTTAGGTTGCATTTTTCATTTGAAATAGGAGTTAGAAACATGCATTTTTTTTCCAAATAAATGGCAGCAGTTTTTTTTTTTTTTTCGCTTATAATTAACATACTTGATTTGGATAGTTATGGCATTAGTATGTGATGCAAATGACAAGTCCAGTGGAGGAAATGAAAAGCCAAGTTGAGGGATAATGAAATAAAAAATAAATAAAAAATTTGAGATACATTAGTGGATGAAAATCGTGAGTGAGAAAAATGTAATGGAATGAAATTGGGATTGTTTGGTACAATATAATCAATTTATCTTTTTTTTTTTTAAATTAAGTACTTAACATATAAGCAACAATTAATATAAATATGTCATCACAAATAACATAACAAAGTAAAAAAAAAAAAAATCGTCGTCTAAGAGAAATTTGACCTTACAATTTTTTTTTAAAAAACAAGTACGCTAAACTTTACCATCGTAACCAAAACTTTAATTTGAACTCTTGGGAGAGGTCGTAGCTACGTAATAAATATAAATCAAATTATTTTGAAGTTCTACAAGAAAAAAAATTTAAAACAACACAACACAAGATATATATATATATATATATATCATAAAAGACCCAGGGGAGTAGGGATGGAGATAGAAGAATAGAAATTTATGAAAATAGATGATTTTATTGAAGAAGAATGAGAATTACAAAGATTCTTGAAAAAGAAAATAAATTTGAGAGAACAAATTACAAAGAGAATAAAACTTCTTCTTGCTAAATTCGCTTTGCCTTGAAATGAAATCTTGATGTCTTCTTATAATGCAGTCCGGACTTGAAATTTCTTTCATTTGAGAGAAAGAATCTTGAAAGGAGGAGTGGACGACATTATCATGAAACATCTTGAAAAGTAGTACAAGCTTTTGTCAAAAGTTTCCAATTTTTGACTTTCTTTAATAAAGTAAACTTCTCTTTATTAAAGTAGTGATTGATGAAGACCGCAAATTTGATTGGAGTCTTGACAAATCTTGCACCACTGAATTTGAACTTGACAAAGATTGAGGAGAATTTCTCTTGATCTGTAGACCCTTGAATTTCTCAAATCATTAAGAAAACTGGGTCCATATAATCATTTATTTGAAGCTTTCTTTGAAGCTTTTTCTTGAGCAAGAAACTCTTCGTAGTCATAACCTAAATCAATTAAGTC